TACCGCACCCCTTCCCAGACGTTGGCCCAACGCAACCGCTTGGCGCTTCGACGGATCAGCCCACGGATGGGTTCCAAGAAGGCCGACCCAGTCCAACGGCAACAGTAGGTCACACGTGCAGCTTGGTTCCACTCGTCTCCTGTCCTCTAACCAACCTCAACCAGCTACCGGAACCACCTTCCTCAACAACGAGACCGTCATTCCCAGCCAGTCCTCTACGCAAGGCCTGTCCACCCATCCGCCAGCGGAAGGGGGAATGCCTGGCCAAGCCGAGCCCATGCAGCAACGCTCGCTCCTTGACGTGCCCTCCGCCGGCGTACCGTCCACCGATGCGCAGAGCCCCAACACGGGTCTCAGTGGGGCCACCGCCGCCGACGCGGAAAGCATTGGCCGAGCGTCGAAGCACTCGAAACGCAGCTTTGGCATGGGCAAGCGACGAGCAGGCAGCCTGGCGAGCAGTAAACGCTCCCATCAACGTGTGGCGGAGAAGGGCGAGGTGCCCCCCGTGCCTGCCTCGACACACCGCGCTGGCTCGACAAGAAGCAAGACAAAGAAGACTGGGGGTCTGCTCTCTTGCCTGCCCTGCTTTGCCCCAAAAGAGTCTCGGGAGCCGAGTGACACAACGCCGCCAGAGAATGTCAAGCAAGCGCAGAGCATACCGACGGGTCGAACGTCGCAATCGACCCCGGTCAAGAAGCAGACACACAACGCCGTCGAGTCCGGCAACATCGACTCCAAGGACATGTTGGAGGAAAAGGCGGGGGCTGCCAACTTTACTTCGGGTGACGCTGAGAAGCCCAGCGGCGGTGATGGTACGCCCGAGCACCAAGTAGTGGAAACCGGGCCCCCGATGGTGACCAGAAGCTCCTCCAAGAGACAACAGGCCCAGGCCGATGCCGCTGCGCAAAATCAGCCGGATACCCTTCAGACCGGACATCCCCAGATCAGCATCACGAACCCCACACCCACCGCCACACCCGTTCTTCCTCGCCCGTCGGTCGAGCAGCAGCGCATAATAGAAGACCAGACCGAGGAGCAGAAGCAAATCGACGACGACATTGAGATGAAGGATGTACCGCTCTCTACCCATGACGTCCACCAAGAAGGCGAGGACCAAAGCACCGACGCTCAGCCTGATCATCCCAAGGTGGACCTTCCACCGCCGCCACCACTTGTGGAGAGACAGCATGCAGTCCAAAGCCAGGTTACGGACGCGTCGGAGGCTTCTGAACCGCAAAAATATCTCCTTGGCCCAATAGCACCGAGATTCAAGGGCAAGAAATGCCTCGTGCTCGACCTTGACGAGACATTGGTTCACAGTAGCTTCAAGGTGTGTACCCTTGTCCCTATCATCGGGTGAAGGTGCGAACACGCCCGCTAATCAGATGCAGATTCTCCATCAAGCCGATTTTACGATCCCCGTTGAGATTGAGGGACAGTACCACAATGTATACGTGATCAAGCGACCCGGTGTCGACCAGTTCATGAAGAGAGTGGGTGAATTGTACGAGGTTGTTGTATTCACCGCATCCGTTTCGAAGGTAAGTTTCGAGTGATGGGCATGGATTGTCACCAGCCATGGAACATGCTGACCATGGCAGTACGGCGACCCGCTTCTGGATCAACTTGATATACACGGTGTCGTACATCACAGGCTTTTCAGAGAAAGTTGCTACAACCACCAAGGAAACTATGTAAAGGTATGCGATCGCCTACAATCATCTCCTGACGCACAGCTGACAGCACATCAGGATCTGTCTCAGATTGGTCGCGACCTAAAGGACACCATCATCATCGACAACTCGCCCACATCCTACATTTTTCACCCTCAGCACGCCGTTCCCATCAGCAGCTGGTTCTCCGACGCACACGATAATGAACTTCTAGACCTCATACCGGTCTTAGAAGACCTCGCTGGCAGCCAGGTCAGCGATGTCAGCTTGGTTCTAGATGTTGCGTTGTAAGCGTCGTTTGAGATGAGGACAGAAGATTTTCTTGCGCATACCCTAGTAGCCTGTGCGCCGCACCGCTACCTCGCCTCCATCGCTCTTCACGACGAGGCGGATGGTAGAAATGTCGGCAAGAACTCCTGAGCTTCTAGATTGTACTTTTGTAATCACTTTGTAATCTGCATAAGAGACGGGACTGATGTGAGAGCGCTACTTGGGGCGAAGTCGGAAGATGCTTTCTCCTTGTTTCGCATTCAACCCCCCTCCCGGTCTCGTTCGTCATGATATGCCGCCACGTCACTGGTGGCTCTGATACCCCCCCCCCCCCTTTTCCGAAGATTTGGCGAGTCACCTCTACAAAACAAAACCTAGTTTCGACTCCTGGCGCAGGAAAGGCGTAAAAATGGCACGAGTGCCCACACCAAAAGAAGCAGTAATATTGGCACACACGCACACACACACAAGTTCCCATACCCCATCTTTCTCGTGTTGAGCAACACTATCCATTCTATTCCTTTTGTGGTTTATCTCCTTGGCTTCGCATTGCTGGTGGTTCCATGCATCTTCTATTCTACTCATGCGCCTGAAGCGTGCATCATTGCTACTCAGCTTTACTTGACTTGATTTTCTCCTTGAATGTATTGGCCGAAAGGGGGAGCGCAGGGGTGGAGGAAGCATGGCCGTGTTGATAGCAGGTGAAGCAGTATAGGTACATAGCGAATCCACACCCGGGTAATCTATCCACGCTGTTTATGCTCTACCAAGTGGAAGGGAGAAAGGAGCGACGTCGGGAGGTGCTGTAGAGGATTGCATCATTACCCCCAAACTCTTGGCATTCACATGCTGGCTCCTTGACTCGCAAGACCACAAAGTAAACCGTGCATCATTCCGCAACACAGGCACACTCGCTCTAGAGAGTACCCACGTCGTAGATATCCCGTCACGAGACCTGCAGCTCGTGAATATTGCACGTCGGCCACCACTCCACCACTCTTGCTTACTCTGCTTGGTCCCCCCGTGTGTGTGTGTGTGTGTGTGTGTGTGTGTGTGTGTGGCAGGATTGTGCTGGCAGAGGATTGCGTCGACGGGCTGACCTATGGCACCCTGACAAGACCGCCCCTCACGACTGCACACTAAACCATGGAGAAGTACAGCCAGTTCCGCGACAAAGGTATTCCGTCATATCTGGCCTTGCCACAGATGTACAGTGAGAGCTGACAGACAGAATACAGGCACCGCAATCGCGCCCTTCCTCCCCGTTCCTCCACCGCCCGTCGGCCTCGTGTGGGCACCACTACACGTTCTCCTCTTCTGCGTGCGCACCCCCTTTGTCATCTTCGTCTCCATTCTCTACTTCATCTTCTTGGAGTATATATCCTTTGGCTCCACAGTCAAATATTGCGTCCTCTGGCTTATGCTGAGCTTCCCTGGGGTGTGGTGGGTGGATCTGCAAGTTGATGGTGTAAAGCGAGGGTGCGTTGCGCTGTCTCCCGCCCCTGTCTCTCTCACAGTTCCCATGTAAATTGGCGTCCCGGAAAGGCCGCCGGAAAGCTAGGAAATGCTGACTCCAAGTCCTCACAGACAACTCCACTCCGCCAAAGAAAACCTGCCCTCTGCCGGCACAATCATCGCCTCGTCCTTCACCTCGCCCCTCGACCCCCTCTACCTCGCTGGCATCTTTCAGCCCATCTTCACCCGCTCCTACCCCCACACCCGCCTTGTTGAACGCATAACCCTCCTTCGCGCCATTCTACTCGCCTTCTCCCCGCCCGCCCTCCTCCCGCACCCTTCGGCCAAACTAGTAACCCTCGCCCAACTGAAGGTCACCAATCCTACCAAAATCATTGCCGTTTTCCCCGAAACAACGACCACAAACGGCCGAGGCATTCTACCCCTTTCGCCGAGTCTTTTAAGCGCAGATGGCAGGACGAGGATCTACCCAGTGAATCTGCGATACACGCCACAGGATGTTACGACGCCTGTTCCTGGGGGCATGCTAATTTGGTTCTGGCGACTGTTGAGCAAGCCGACGCATCAGATGAGGGTAAGGATTGCGAGTCATGTATACAACAACGAGAGCCTGGATTCTCCCTCGGAGCTGCCATCACCGTCAAGTGCAAGTATGGCCAAGGGAACAGGGTATGATGCTAACGTATTTGATAATCTGGCGTTCAGGAACGGGTTGCGGGGTGCGTCTGGGGAGGCGGGAGGTGCTATGTGTGTCGATGTTGGTAGTGATGTTGCTCGGGTCGAACAGAATAAAGCAGTGACTGAAGAAGAACAACAGGTCCTGGATCGTGTTGGGGAGAATTTGGCTCGGCTGGGGAGGGTGAAGAGGGTAGGGTTAGGGGTGGAGGAGAAGATTGAATTTTGCAAAGTTTGGGGCAGTCGGAGACGGTGAATAGTATGAACAAAGCGTTAACGCTTGAAGAACAAGAACCTCTAAAAGTAGCATACATCTCTATTATATAGATATCCTAACTACTTTAATACTATATATAATAAACTATACTAAGTGTTTATAAAATATTTTCTATTTTAATATCTAACTAATCTAACTAACGTGCCCTACTAGTAAACAGATTACATAGGTAAGCGAAAGAAGGTGCTAATATAAGCTTTATAGTAAGGAGATAGAGGTTTTAAACGTAGATTATAATACTAGGTGTTAATTAGTTATTAAACAAATTAAAACTATGTATATTGATTCTTATAGGTATTTATACTACCTATAAGGATATAATCTATCTAACCTACGCTATTCTAGTATATACTTAGACCCCTTAGGCTAGTAGAGGCCTACGTCCTAATATTATCCCCCCTCTTTAGGGAGGTTATCCTAACTAACTTAGCTAGATATATTATAGGTAGTCTAGAGACTAGGTGTAATAATATAGGTAGGTAGAGCATCTAAAAGGTATCCTATATAACTTGTGTAATAACTTAGGTAGGTAGGGCATCTAAAAGGTATCCTATATAACTTAAGGGCATATAGAAGTGCGCGTCTATATAGAAAAGGATAAGATTCCTACACCTATAGGTCTTGTATAAAAGGATAAGAAGAACATACCTATCCTAATATAGGTAAGCTGCTCTCTATATATATTAGTAAGTTAAGCTTTTATTAGGCCTAACTTAGTATAGAATAATAGGTAAGTAATTCTACCTTATTATAATACTACCCCCTCCTATATAGAAAGGATAGTCCCTATCCTTATAATTAGGTTTAGATCCCTTATTAAAGAAACGCTTCTATAAAATAATTCTACCTTTACCTCTACCTTTACTTTTACTTCTTATTCCTAGGGTAGAGACCCTTATCTATAACCTACCTATATCTAGCCCTCTACCTACTAACTTTCTTATTCCTGTATCTCTAAATTTTTAAACTTTTAACCTATATTATCTAAAATCTAGTAAGTATTTAAGCTATATAATTAAGTAGTTACTAATCTAAATTAGAAATATTTACTATACTAGTACTAGTACTACTAGAAGTTCTACTAGTTACTTATCGCGCTCTCTATATAAGAGCTATTAGGGCTATAGCTTAGGGCAAGTTTAATAATTTTAACTTTAAGTCTAGGAATTCTAAGAAATAGTAGTACTATATTTCTTAGAACAAGTACTATAATCTAGTTAGTATCTAAGTCTAGTATAGTTTCTTTTCTAATTATAATAGAATACTTTCTATATTAGCTATAAGTACTTAGGTCTCTAAGGTACTCTTAATAAGTACTATAGTCTAGTTATAAACCCTCTTAAAGGGTATAAGGAAGAGGAAACTCTAAGGGCCTTTTAGTTAGATATTAAGTAATTTAAGGGTACTATTTAAGAAACTACCTAAAACCTACCTAAATATATTATAGTTACTAACTCCTAGACTAAGGGTATAGAGGCTATAGAGATCCTAATAGCTACCTACTATACTACCTTATCTAAATTATATAGGCTTTATAATAGTATCTTTAAGATAGTAGTAGTAGTTAAGGGTATAACGCAAGCTATTAATAAACTTAAGGAGGAAATAGTAGTACGTTAGGAAGTAACCTAGATAGCTATAGCTTTGCTAACTAAGACTATTAAGAAGGTATCTAAATCTACTCTAGCTCCTACCCCTACTCTAAAACTAGCTGCGCTAGTTACTGAAAAGGTAGCTAAAGAAGGTAGTCTAGGCAGGTGTTATAGACTAGCCTTAAGGGAGAATGCAATAAGCGTTGATAATAGTATTTAGTATCTTAAAGGAGAGGTAAGCCCTCTACGCCTTTTTATAGGTGTGTAGTGTGTTTGCTTAGTAGTAGTAGTGTTAGACTTAGTCTATCTTATATTAGGCCTAGGCTTAGGCATAAGCCTAAGCCCTTTACATACCCCTAACCTTCCCTATAAACTATTGTAAAATTATCTTTCTAGGGGTCCTAGGTTATATCTTTCTTCTTTATAATCTATATTAGGCTTTCTTACTATATATTTAGGTTTTATTATTATATCTTTATATTCCTTCCTAATTTATAATAGGCCTATATATTAAGTAGTACGCGCGCGTAGCATCTATACGCTTATTTTAGCACCCTACTATAAAAGTTCTAATATAGCTGTCCTACCCTACTATAAACTTCCTAAACTTACTTTGTTACACCACAGATTTTCCCTACTAATTAGTCTTTTCTCTACTCTTTCTCTATCTATCCTGCCTATACTACCCTTACTATGTTCTTATCTACTACTACTAGTGCTAGTAGTGGTAAACCACTAAGAGTGTAACAATAAGGCAGGATTGCTCGCCTATTATTCTATGCCAAGTTAGGCCTAATAAAGGCCCGACTTACTGATGTATATAGAGAATAGCTCGCCTATAGTTAGGATAGGCATGTTCTTCTTATCCTTTTATACAAGACCTATAGGTGTAGGAATCTTATCCTTTTCTATATAGACGCGCACTCCTATATACCTTTAAGTTATATAGGATACCTTTTAGATACCCTACCTACCTAAGTTGTTATATTATAAGAAGAATATTATCCTAGCTAGTAATAGTATTTAAGAATATCGCACTTATTATTATTTTAAGCTACTAATTTAGTTCTAGTAACTATCTAACCCTGCAACTCTATAGTTAGAATAGCTATTAGAACTTCTAATAACTAAAGCCTATAGGCTTAGACTTCTAGACCTATAAGTAGTGCTAGATTACCTTTAGAAAAATCGCGTTAGATTGCGTTAAGGTAGAGACCTAGAGACTACTAAAAGCCTAGAGGAATTAGAGGTAAAGCTAATATCCTCTTATAACTAAACCCCCCTAAAAAGAAAAGATTTATTATTCTTATTAACTATAAAATATTAAACAAAGGCAAAGGAAGGGTATCTAGTTTAGCTACTTTTAAAAGCCTATTTACTAATAGAAAGAAATTAGATAAGGAAGACTTAATTAACAACGCCCTCCTAGAAGGACCTACTTCCTATCTATCTCTTAAGGTTCCTTATACTCCTAGGAAATTTTAAAGTAACACCCCCCTTAAAGATAAATATATATTTACCCTATCTAAAAAGGAGAGGTTAGAGAAATAAGTTAAGTAACTTACTAATTAGTTATATAACACCTCCCTCTATAAGGAGATATAGGGTACTACCTAACTAGACTAGTCTTTAGCTTCTATATTAAACCCTATAGTATATGCTATAAAAGCTAAGAGATAATCTAAAAAGATACTAAATATCTCTACACTTAGTAATAGTGCTAATCCTACTTTTAGATAATAGCAAGCATCTATTTAGGATAGGCTAGAGATTAATACTAATTACTACTACTCTTCTAGAGCTTAGATAGCGTTAGTCTAGGGACACTGCTTAGTCTAGGGACACTGCTTAGGACTAGCAAGAGAATACTTAGAGCCACGTTACCTATCTAATTCCCTAAGTCTTTAGTTCTAAAAAGCTAAGGAAATAATTACCCTCCTTTAAACTTACTTTATTACTAGAAATAAGATAGCTAATAGTTATACTATATTTAATTGCCTATATATAACTAATATAGAGACGTTCCCTACTTTTAAGTTATAGTTCTAGAGTCTTGCTATTAGAGGAGAAGTACCCTAATTAGAGTAGTATTACTACCTCTAGATAAAGATTACACCTTCCCTAAGGATACTAAACCTTGCTTTCTAACAAAATTAGTATAATAATCTTAAGACTATAGTAGATTATCTTACTACTTTTAATATAGAACACTACCTATACCCTACCTTGTCTACTCCTACCTAGACTACTCTATTATCTAGAAAAGGACTAACCCCCTTCTAACACTCTAGAAACTAGTCCTATTTAGACGCTAATTAGAAACCCTATAATAGACCTTTAATAGGCTAAACCTTAATATACCCTACTTATAATAATAATACACTACCCCTTAAAATAATTAACCCCTATCTACTACGCTAGCTACTCCTAGCGCTACTATAATAGGAACCCTAGGAACTTGCTATAATTATAGAAAGCCTAGGCACTTCTCTAGTAACTACCCTAAACCCCCTAGGATTTAGGCTATAGATATAGAATAGGTTATTAAGAATTCTAAGGATAAAGAAACTACTAAATTAACTAATTTAGATTGCTATTAGACAGGAAATAATAATACCTATAAGGATCCTCCTTCCTAGGCCTAACTTAATATAACCTGTTAAACCTTTCCTTAACTAAATTATTTATTAGTTCCTATTTACTTGTATATATAACCCTATGCCTTAATAGATCTAGTATTTGCCTAAACACTTTAGTAGATACTAGGGCCTAAGGTTACTTATTCCTTAATTTAAAAATTACTTATAATATCTCTTCTACACTTAGGGTACCTGTCTAAAAGCTACTATATAAGCTTACTATTAAAGGGTTCTAGGATTAGATTTCCTCCCTAGTTACCTACTATATTTAGCTTTATATAATAGTTAGGGGCTAAAAGGTTTATAACTGCCCCTTTATAATAGTAGACTTAGGTTCTTAGGATTATATTATTAGATAACACTAGCTAAAACAGTTCTAAATCCTAATTAATACAGATAAATCTTAACTAATCTAGCTAGAGAAATATCCTCTAACCTATAACCCTGCACCTCCTATTCTAGTACAACTCTACTAGCAAGTGCTATCTACTCTAGTTACCTATAATATCTTGCAAAGAGACGCCCTTTAGGATTAAGAGGAGAACTAGAACTAAAATAGTCCTAGTTTAATTAATAGGATACGTGGTATACTTAAAATTCTAGCTACTTATAAGGCTGCTACTAAACCTATTATACTACCTACCCTAGTCTAATTACTAACTATTACCCTACCTGCAAAATTTTAAATTACTACTATTTCTACTAATACTTTCTATTTTAATATAAAAAAATCTTCTAATAAATTCTT